CACCGGAGAGTTTCACGAAGCTAATCATCGTGTTGGGAGCTTTTGCTCGGATTTGGTGCCCTGTAGATGGCATCAAGGGACGCACTCTCTTTATCGGCTGAAGCAGAGAAGAGTAGAAAGAGAGATGCTGGAAGTGTGGGTTCCGGGTTCAAAGACCTTGCTGACGATTTGGACAAACATTGGGCCATGCTGGGATGAGACTTCAGGAAGGAGCCTGGAGCGACGAACGAACGAGTGCGACGAACGAGTCTTCAGGTGGACCTTCGACTGGTCACCCGTGAAGAGCTCTTGCTCAGAGGTGAGGGAGTTGAGACTTACCTGGTTCGAGCTGGAAGGGAATTTGATGAATTTCTGGCAGATCGTCAGCGTTGACCCAGAGCTTGTGGCCATCCATGCATGTTTCCTTGCTTGGACGTCTACCACTTCACAAGGATCGATCCTGAGAGAAACCCTTCGGGTCGATCATACCGGCAAGTCGACCGGGTCAGCGGGTCGGTCCGGCGGAGCTCGAGGAGCGATGCCGGATGCCCTTCGCTCTTCCGCTTCGGGCACTTCGTCTCGCCTTCGGTCGAATGATGGAAAAGACACAGAGCCTCAGCAGAGCCTCGGGGGTACATGCGGCTCAAACACGTCATCGCGATCAAGAATGAGATTCGCGAAATCATGGAGATCATGAATCCCATGGGAGGGATGAACCAGGACATGGGAGAAAACCAACCAGCAATGGGAGCAGGAATTGTGTGAGTAGGCTAGAAGCTCTGAGCTCGCCCCTTAGACTCACTTGAGAGGGTTGTGCTTTAAAAAGCACCCTCCACGCGTTTCTCAGATTCACTTCAGGTAGCTCTGGCAGAGACATGAACACATGTACACTTCATTCGACTGGGACAGAGAGGCTCAATAGAGTTGGGAAAAGAAAAGAGCCATGTTGATAGAAAGACAACAAAGGCAATGGAACAAGAAAGGAAAACACAAGCAAGAAACCAAAATGAAACAATGAGTCAATCATGCAAAGGGATTCTTCAAGCAAGCCTCCCCCGCCGGAAAAAAACGGCACAACTCTGTTCGCTACTAATAAGTAGTTTCTTATTATTATAGCCATTATAGCAGCTTCTTTGCAGCCTACCCCGTTCCCTCCCCAGAAATAGTGGGAAAGAAAAGAATCAAAAAAAAGGGGAAGAAAAGGACGGGAGTCTCCGTGACGGTCACCGCGTTGGGAGTCTGCATCATGACGTTCGCCACGCCGGGCGGCACCGGGCGGCACCGGGCAGCACGGAGAGAAGGAGAAGGTCCGGTTGCTCAAATACAATGCCGGTAAAACGATGCCAGTTGCAACAAACAGGGCAATTTCTTGTAACAAACAGCCTGTCAGTTTGTCCAAATGAACTCCACCTGGTTGACAGTCACCGTTGGCATAATTGAAAGTGCAACTTGAAAGTCGCTTTCATGGTGCCTGGAATGAGCTTCTGCGGTTCCGGCATTTCACCAAAATGTGGAGCCTGCAGGAATAGCCAAACACCAATGAACAAATGGATGATAATGGATGTGTATTAAATCAAGAGACTCCCAGGCAACCCCGAGTGAACTATCAAAAAAAAAATAGTCAAAAAGAAATTAACAACCTTATCAAAAACAAATTTAAATCATCAAAAAAGGTTATCTTAAATATCGTGACCTGCACAGGCCAAAGACCACTCATTAGCGAAAAATCCGCCGGCCTGCCGGCGTGTTTTGTGGATTGTCTTGGTTAGTATAGCTTGTCTTGGTTTCAGCTTAAGGTTTGTCTCTCCGCGCGGATTTTTCGACAGCCTGACGCCCCCCCCCCCCTCTCTTGCCTTACTTTTAGTAAAGAAAATCATCTTCCCAATTCATTTTTCTTCTTTTAATGTTGAGCTGCTCGTACTTTTAATAAAGAAAATCATCTTCCCAACTCAGTTTTCTTCTTTTAATGTTGAGGTGCTCGTACTTTTAATAAAGAAAATCATCTTCCCAACTCATTTTTCTTCTTTTATATAATGTTGAGGTGCTCGTATTTTTAGTAAAGAAAATCATCTTCCCAATTCATTTTTCGTCTTTTAATGTTGAGGCGCTCCTACTTGCAGTAATGAAAATCATCTTCCCAACTCATTTTTCTTCTTTTAATGTTGAGGTGCTCGTACTTTTAGTAAAGAAAATCATCTTCCGACCTCATTTTTCTTCTTTTAATGTTGAGGCGCTCGTACTTTTAGTAAAGAAAATCATCTTCCCAACTCATTTTCTTCTTTTAATGTTGAGGTGCTCGTACTTGTAGTAATGAAAATCATCTTCTCAACTCATTTTCCGTCTTTTAATGTTGAGGCGCTCCTACCCCCCTCTCGCCTTGTCTTGTCTTGTCGCCTTGTCTCGTCTCTTGTCTTCGCTTCTCTTCTCTTTTCGTTCTCGTTCTCCTTCTCTTCTCTTCCCCCTCTTCGTCTTTTTCAAGCAGGCCATGCATTGGCGCACAGTCGCGCGTGTGAAGAAACACGCATAACAACCTTGGCTTTTCCACGCGTTTTGCGGGAACTCGCTGCCAATTGGGTTCTATATCGCTTACACTGTCACGGCGTTATTCTAGGCAATGGCTCTTACACGACTTCGTTCTGACACCGCAACCTGTGCACCTTCCAAGTCATGTCGCGCACAAGCCCCTTGCAACCATTTCCTCGCTACTTTTTTTCGCTTACATGTCGCTTTTGCAGAAGCTCTGTGTTACACACACGCTCTCTGCAAGTACTGTTCGCTGCCCACTCGCTTTTACACCAGCGCAGCTTTTGTTTTTGGCCAGTTGCTCTCCACTTACATGGCTCTTACACTACTTCGTTTTGACGCCGCACCTATTGACACAAACATCTCCAGCCAGCGTGCATGTTCCAAGTCATGTCGCGCACAAACCCCTTGTTTTCACGCACTTTGATATCGTACACTCTGTTAGCTAACCTTTGCATAACCTGCACACAAAAAAACACAATAGCTACACACAGCTACACACGCCCGGGCCATGGCGACCAGCCGTGCGGGCTCGAGCTGATGGCCGGCGGCATGCCGAAGGCTGTAAATATTTACATGTTTCACAATCAAAAAGAAATTATTCGAATATGTTTTTGATGAGACTTTTTTTGGGATGAGTGATGTTGCAGTCAGTAGTAGTAGTAGTCGTCGTCGTCGGCGGCGGCGGCGTTGTGGCAGCAAGCAGGTACTAGTGCTATAGCAGATGCTCGCATAAACAAACAAAGCTGGAGGGGTGTAGCTGGTAGTTGGTAGGTAGTAGTTAGGGTGCACTTTTAATGTGTTTCTTGATTTTTCGGTAATTTGTTCAAAATCATTGGAATAGAGAAGGCTTCTTTCTAGTTCCTAGCTAATTACAGCAATTTCGTGTCCTTAGCAAAGACACAGGTGTCAAAGCTGGCCAAATACATTGGAATAGGTGCAGGTTTCCTTTTGACTGCTAGCTGATTAGACTAATTTGGTATCCCTAGCAGAGACAGACCTGCCGTAGCTGGCAAGCAAAATACATTGGAATAGTGTAGGTGTCAGAGAAATTCCTACCTATCACAACAGTTTGGTGCAGTTAGCAGAGAAACAGCAAAAAGAAAGAGAAGTAGCACAGGAGGCATATTTGGTTGGTTAGAAGGTTTTGCCCCGCGGAGTTCACCTTAAAATATTGATTTCGTGGCAGGCGCGGGTGTCGGAGATGAGGTGCAGACGGGCGGGGTTGGGGTGGGCGGCGCAGCGCCCCCCCCCCAGCAGCACACCAGAACAAATGAAAAAGCAAAAACAAAAAGAGAAAGGAGAACAGTTGCCAAAGCAGAAAAGCAACAAAAGCAAAGAGCAGAAAGACAAAAACACAAAAAGCAGAAAAGCAACAAAAGCAGCCGTATTTACATAGTCGTAATGGTTTAGTTTCACATCAATCATATTCCAACAGTTTTCCGTCTTGTCTCTATGTTGTGTAATTGCTCTTCGTTGGCTTTAACATGTTTTAACTAAAGATCAGCTGGTGGTTCAGGTCCAGTGGTGCCCCCACTCCGCTCCTTCCCTCCTGCGCTCCTTCCCTCCTTCCCTCCTTCTTCCTTCCCTCCTTCCTTCCTTACTTCCTTCCTTCCTTACCTCCGTCCTTCCTTCCCTCCCTCCCTCCCTCCTTCCTTCATTCCTTCCTCACTCACATACCAACCAGGACCCCCGAAACTCTGGATCTTCTCGGTCCATTCGCCACCCAACTCTCGCGGGTCCTGGAAAATGTGGATTTGAAGCAGGAGACGCCCTTTCTCGCCCCAGGTGCTGGGTCGACTTGCCCCCTTATTCTTATACACATGTGACCGTGGACTCTCGACACCGAAAGCATATCGTTCGGAGCGCAAGCTTTGGCCATTCAGCCGTTCAGAGTGGGGTCAGCAGGGATGGATGAAGAGCAGCGTCGAGTCGCAGCAGGCGCAGCAGGCGTCGAGCAGCTTTTGTAGGATATCTTCATATATACTGTATATTATATATACAGTTAAAAAAACTCACACAGCATGACCAATACTTCATACAAAGGCTCATGGACAAACAAACGCCACCGACTCCAAAAAATGTCACATAATCATATAAGCGGCCAAAAGTTGGTCCGATCGAAGCCATTGAAACTAAGGAGTTGAAAAAACCAAAGCTGGACATCCGTGGAGGTTGCCTTACCAGAATTATTACACTCAAACTGACTGAAAAAACAACGAGCTTTCGCTGTTGGTCGCCTCCAGGGACCGGTACCCACCTATCACAAGCCTTTAAAGAAAGGGCTCCTAGGACAAGCTTCAAGAAAATGCAAACCTGAGAATCAACATCCTTGCTCCAACTGCTTGCAAGACTGTGCTGAGATCAAACCATGTCTCGCACACACCTTGTCTCGCACCGTGATTTGATGCCACCGAGACTCTCGTCTCTTCAGCTCGGTGGGCCCACAGGTGTCCACCTGTCCCAGTCTGCGGAGAACCCGGAGAAACGCGGAGAGTCGTGAATGGTCCAAAGTCGGTGGTGCGGCTGAAGCCGACGTTCACCACGGCGCCTCTTTTGGGCGGCACAACAGGTCGGTTTCAGCGGACACCCTCGGCTCGCGGCAGCGGCAGCTCGGCTCTTTTCGGAGCCGAAAGCAAGGAACTTTTGCAATGTGCCGAAAAGGGACTCACCGAAGAAGACATCTTTCCTTTTGGAAAGAAAGCAACTGTGGGCTCTTGAGATTGCGCTTCTGAGACTGAGTTACGAAAAGGAACATCCAAATTCATCCAGCCACAGATCACATCTCTTCTTGAAAAACCCAAGCCCGATTCCGATCAAGTTCCCGCCGTCCGTCTGCAGTGAGCACGTCCTTGTTGCTTCCGAGCCAAGTCTCTTTTGGGTCGTATAGATTTTTTAGGTTCCCGTTCGGAAGAGCAGGCACCTTTTGGAATCGAATCGGAACAAAACCGACCAGGTAAAAAAATTATCTGACTGTGCGGCATGTTTCCACCCAGCAGGGTGGACCTGACAGAAATCTCTTGAGAAAAAGCTGAGACGAATGGAATCTATGATATTCCACCCTACAAGCCAAAATCTTAGCGGATTTCTGTGGGAATTTTCCTACAGAACGTCACAGTCACACTCGGCAGTACGTCACCTCGCCGTTAAAAACTTCCTGCAAACTCTCCGGCACTCCCACCTCCCGTGCTAGGTCGGCGGCCGAAAATCCCTGCGCATTGCGCAGATCCAGCCTGGCCCCCTCAGTGACCAGGATCCAGGCAGTTTCGTAGTTCGCTTGAAGGATGGCCAGCATCAAGGGCGTTGCACCATGCAAATGGTAGAACATTCTTGTTGCAGAGGTCCTTCTGTGAAATCTGTGCTGCATAGACTGTGCAAGAACTACGCTCGATTCAACTGTCAACTGCGGAACCTGGTACTGCTCATCCACATCTGCCTTCATCTCAAGGAGTCTCCGAGTCACTTGGGCCCCTCCTTGGTTGGTTGTGGCGGCTGTGTGGAGGCACTTGGAAAGCTTGTTGGCAGCGCTTCGACTCCAAAGTTCTTCCATAGCAGCCAGCGAGTTCATTTGAATTGCAGACTGAAGCACTGGCATCCCAAGCACGTTGGCACTTGCGGGATCACAGCTAAAGTCGCAAAGCAGGCGAACGCCTTCATCATTGTTGCTCAGAGCAGCCGCTGTCAAGGCGGGACAAATACCCCATTCTTGCACTCTCGCCTTGGCTGCTATCAGCAACTGTGCAACTTTGTTGTGCCCACAAAGAACGGATAAGCCAAGCGATGACATCCAGGGTGGCGCCCCGATCAAGGGTTGCCCCTTCCGGGTGGTCTTGGTCAAGTCTGCACGCTGTTCCAAAAGAGCGTTGATCAACTTCGTGTCTCCGCTCAAAGCAGCATAGTGCAAAGGCCTAAATCCAGCACGGTCTACTTCATTGATTCTTGAGAAGCCATTCTGATGGAAGAATTCAGCCACAACCACAGCCGAGTCGTCTGTGTTGCCAACTTTGTCAGCCACAAAGCCTGGAATGAGGTTGAGCTCTGGCTCAATGTCAAGACCTCTCAAATGCACACTTTGGAGGTTGCGCACAATGCGGTAAGTCACAAAGTCACCACGTCTCAATGCATTCAGCATCTTGCGCTTCAGGGCAGCCGCCAGCACTGGACCAAGCTTGGCCTTGTCATCCGCCACGGCAAAAGTGCCTTCGCCTATGGGCCGATTGAAGGCGTCGGTTGCAACCGTGATCTCGATATGCAAAGCACTTTTCACCATTATCCATGGGCCCTCAGAAAGCTCGCGCATCGTCCGCTCCAAACGACACCAGCCCCGACTTCGCCAACTTGATGCATCGAGAACCTCGTTCGTGACCAGATCATGCATGAAAGGGCACAGTGCGAAAAGGAACGAACACTCAGCCACGTAAGCATGAATGCTCTCAATAGCTTGTGCCTGCTTGCTAATCTGCCCCGGACTCTCAGGCTGATTCTTCTGCGGGCAAGAAAAGTAGTCGTACCAAAGGAACAGTTTCACTGAGCGCAGCTCTTGGGTGTCCAAAGGGCGTGCATTTGGAACGAGCAGTTCGGTGACATAGTCAAGTGGTATCTGCGGAAGATCGGACAAAATGCGTTGCATTGCCTTCTGCAGCACGCGGAACCGCTCAAACGTGGGATCTGGGTGATCCTTTCCTGCCCATTGGTGTGAAACAAACACTGCCTTTCCCATCTTCTTCTCAAATTCCACCAGAACACCTTTGGACTTCAGCTCTTCATGCGGCTGGAGGCAGCTCATTTGCAATGCATCTTCCAAATGCACTGTGTACATTGGATAAAGCCTCGTCGGCACCGCCTCTGACTCTGCCTGCAGGTGGGCTGCATGGCATGCCAGCGGTGTCTCTCTGCGCAATCCACACAGCGGCATGGCAGCCTGATGCACCAGCTCGCTAAATACTAGCTGCTGGCTTGGGGCGTATCTACGTAGATCAAACAAAGGTGCAAAGCACAACACAGTCCTTCGAGGTGAAACCAATCAAAAAAGCCTGTCCATGCATTCCCCCCAAAAACAGTCGCAGCGTTTTTCCAAACTGAATCGCTCCCGCCTCGACACCCGGAGGTCAAGCTCCCTTTGTGATTGGTTTCTGTGAGCACGGCCAAACACACCTAAGAACACAAGCAATTTGGTTGGAGACTAGCTCACAAGCCACTGATAGCAGCTCGGACTTGGCTTCGTTTCTGCCAGCGAAATTGCTTCTGTGTGAGGGTCACTCTGAATCCGGATCCGAAGGTTCCCAAGGCTGGGATGATGCAGAACCATGCAAGAACCTTATAGATAGATAAGAAGAGAGAAGCTCAAATCAGATCAAATAAGAGAAGATTGGATGGATGGAAGGATAGATTCTTATAGATAGATGACTTATATATATATATCGTATATATAGATGAGGCGGCGATCTCAATTTGTGATTTTCGTATGTGTGGGTTATTTTTGTTTGTTGGCTTTGCTAGGTTGCTCCTTACAGGGACTTAGGAAGGTTCCCTGCAGCCCCCTGGTGTCTCTGAGGGTTTTCAGTTGTTCACTGGTGGCTTGGCTTACGCTGGAGGGGGAGCAGGGGAGAGGTGCTACGCCCGAGCAAACGAGCAAACCAAGTGCCAAGCCACCAGTGCCAAGCCACCAAATGCCAAGAAACCAGAAGTGATCGCCTAGCCATCAAAGCTGAACAAAATCCACGTATCAAAAAACAAATCAACCCTCAATCAAACACCAGCCCAAAGCCACAAAAGACTCCAAAAGCCAAAAGTCACCAAACTTCAAGTTCACCAAGCAGCTACGTACCAAAAGCTAACAGAAGAAGTTATCAAACCCAATAAAATCCCCGAGAACCACCAAAAGCAAGCCATCAAAAACCCCGCCAGCCAGCAAAATGGAAGCCAAAAGCCAAGAAGAAACAAAGTCGGATGCCAAGAAGCCACAAAGCCAAAAGCCAAGACTCAAAAGACATAGAAGCCTCAGAAGCAACAGAAGCAACAGGTAGAACGAACAAAATATCAAAAAAAAACAAAACTACAAAGAAACCAAAAACAGTTGCCCTCCCTTAGATGACCATCCAGATCCTATACTGTCCTTACCCCTTCTGAAGCCTTTTGTTAATCATTGATGCTTTTAGTCGACCACGCCAGCCGATTCTGGAGAGAGATCGCTCACAAGACTAACCACAAGCAACTCACACCTGAGCAATCAAGTCGCTTTTCTCTCCCAAAAACGATCTCTTTCGCTTAAGCAGACTTTTCGCACTCTGACTGCCTTCCTGTTCGTCCCTCGCGCCTGTCCGTGGGCTGGATGTAAAAGCAGCAGCACATTTGGGTGGCAGGCCTTCATAAACCGGTCGTCTGCAATGCAGCCAATTATCTCAAATGTATCTCATCAATGCTGACAATCTTCCATACCACACAAACCCGCAGAACGCCATGTCATGAGCCATAGACCTATGCACTCCAGGCACCCTGACAAGTATACCTGCAATTTGGACACTTCACATATCTTCTCCTTCATCAACCACAAAATCAAATCACTCGCCTAGGAAGTCTGCACCGAAGACACTGAAGTAAATTGCCTTGAAAAATGGTTGGAAAGCCCAAAGACAAAGCTTGTTCAAAAGCTGGACTCAAAAACCATTGCAGCACTCAAAGCACATCCAGAAGGCAAGTGTGGCAGTTTTGAATCGTCTTGCAGTGTCATGCGGACCTTGAAATGTAGGTGAGACAAGTCTTCAACCGCAGTTCCAATTGTAGTGCAACACGGCAACGCGGATTTAAGTGTTGTCTCGTGGTGACAGTGAGACTAGGACAGATTCTGCCGGGCTGACAGATTCTGCAACTGAAGGACTTTTGCTTGTATGGGTTTCTTCGTGAAGTCACAAGAATCTGTCAAATCTTTAAGGCTAAGGCTTCTGAAAAGTTAAAATGGAAAAGTAAGAAATGGTCACACTCGACAGTACGTCACCTCGCCGTTCAAGACCTCCTGCAAACTCTCCGGCACTCCCACCTCCCGCGCTAGGTCGACCGCCGAAAATCCCTGCGCATTGCGCAGATCCAGCCTGGCCCCCTCAGTGACCAGGATCCAGGCAGTTTCGTAGTTCGCTTGAAGGATGGCCAGCATCAAGGGCGTTGCGCCAGGCCAATGATAATACAGTCTTGTTGCAGAGGTGACTCTGCCAAGCTGGTAACGGAGAGAATGCACCGCAATGAGGGGTCCTTGTGGTGTCAACCATGGAACCTGATACTGCTCATCTACATCTGCCTTCATCTCAATGAGTCGCTGAGCCACTTCCCCACCTCCTTGCTTTGAACTGGCAGCTCCATGAAGGACTTTGGAAAGGTTCTTTGCACCACCCTGTCGCCCAAGCTCTTCCACGGCGGCCAGAGAGTTGGCCCAAGCGGCCGTCTGAAGCGCTGACATCCGAAACAGGTTTTCCTCTTCGGGGTCACAGCCAGAGTCACAAAGCAGGCGAACGCCTTCAGCGTTGTTGCTGTTGGCAGCCACTGTCAAGGCTGGCCCGATGCCCCACTCATGAACTCTGGCCTTGGCTTCAATCAGCAACTGTGCAACATGGTTGTGCCCACAAAGCACAGACAATCCAAGCGCAGAAATCCAGGGTGGCACGCCAATCAAGGGTTGCCCCTTCCGGGTGGTCTTGGTCAAGTCTGCACGCTGTTCCAAAAGAGCGTTAATCAACTTCGTGTCTCCACTCAACGCAGCATAGTGCAAAGGCCTAAATCCAGCACGGTCTATTTCATTGATTCTTGAGAAGCCATTCTGATGGAAGAATTCAGCCACAACCACCGCCGAGTCGTCTGTGTTGCCAACTCTGTTGGCCACAAAGCCTGGAATGAGGTTGAGCTCTGGCTCAATGTCAAGACCTCTCAAATGCACACTTTGGAGGTTGCGCACAATGCGATATGTGACAAAGTCACCCCGTCTCAATGCATTCAACATCTTGCGCTTGAGGGCAGCTGCTAGCACTGGGCTGAGCTTGGCCTTGTCATCTGGCTCTCCAAAATCACCGTCCCCTGTGGGGCGGTTCAAAGCTTCAGTTGCAACCACCACCTCTATGTGCGCTGCACTTTGCACCAGTATCCAAGGGCCCTCAGAAAGCTCGCGCATCGCTCTCTCCAAACGACACCAGCCCCGATTTCCCCAGCTTGATGCATTGAGCACCTTGCTAGTGAAAGGGTCCCGGATGAACGGACACAGTGCCACAAAGAAAGAACACTCAGCCACGTAAGCATGAATGCTCTCGATGGCCGATTTGATCTGGTCGTTGACCTGACTGTTCTCAGATTGGTCTTTCTGCGGGCACGAGAAGTAGTCGTACCAAACGAACAGTGGTACTGATCGGAACTCTTGGGTAGGCAAAGGCCTTGCTGTGGGCACTGTCGCTTCTGTGATGAAATCGAGGGGTATCTCAGAAAGATCCGACAAAATGCGTGTCATGGCCTTCTGAAACACGGCGAACTGCTGAAATGTGGGATCGGGATGTTCCCTTCCGGCCCATTGGTGTGAAACAAACAGCGCCTTTCCCATCTTCTTCTCAAATTCCACCAGGACGCCCTGAGATTTCAGCTCTTCATGTGGCCGGACGCAGCTCATTTGCAATGCATCTTCCAAGGGCACCGTGTACATGGGGAAAAGCATCGTGGGCATCAATTCTGCCTCGGGCTCTGCCTGCAGGCGGGCTGCATGGCGTGCCAGCGGCGTCTCCTTGCGAGATCTGCAAAGCATGGCGCATGGTTGGCTTAGGCTGAGCTCGAGCTGCTTGAGCCATGGCAGGATTGCACAACGGAAGTCTCAGACTTTCACGCCCATCGCACCAAAAAAACCCTTGAAAACAGCAAAAAGCCCGTCGCATGTCCACAGCTCGCTCTCCTCAGAAAATCCGTCATCACGAGTCAGTCGCCCCTGTCTATGACATCTCTACCAAGTCGCCCCTGTCAGCATCGACATGCTCACCTTTCTCAATCACACTCAGCGTGGGCGCCTGTCCGTGGGCTGGATGTCAAATCAGCAGCACACTCCAGCAGCAGGCCTCACAAACCAATGGTCGTCGGCAATGGAGCCAATTATCTCAAATGTATCTCATGAACCCCAGAATTGGTTTAAGGGAAAATCTACAGGAAAGCCATTGTTTTGGTGAAAACAAGGGTTTCCTGTAGATTTTCTCTTAAACCAATTCAATGAATGCTGGCATTTGGCCAGTTCACTAGCTGACAGCCTGCTTCACCTCCGGATGGAAGAAAAAGGGAGAAAAACCTCTTGTAGGTGTTACAACAGCAGACATCTCTCTCTCTAGGTGTTTGGTAATTGACGACCCCCTGGAAGCCTGCTTTGGAGATCCAAAAACTCCATGAAGGCCAAGAGTCAACAGTCCAAGATCCGGGCCAGGGGGTTCTGCAGAGCGCACGACTTCTGCAGTCCTTGGAATCCAATCCCCACAGATGCAAGCATTTCTGGAGGGACGACTTCAAACAGGGAGCCCACTGCGTCCACCAGAAGGGAAGCTTCCCAAATGTGCAGAAATCATGGTTCAAAACATCTGAAATCAATGTTCAGAATCCTCCAAGCTGCGTTCTTGTGAACAGCACCCGAAGAGAGACCGCAGCGCCTTGCGATCATCCACGAGACGTGTTCTTCTTTTCGGTTTGAAGCAACAGAACTGTTTCACCTGTTGTTTTCGTTAATATATTTTGTTTGAGGCAATTGCAAGTTCTCTTGTGGCAAAGCATAAGTGTTCTATGGCAGCCTTTGGGTAGAAGGCCACAGCAAACCTGTTGAGTTGCACAAAAAGAAAGTCTACTGCATGCAATATGGCCGGAAACAAAGATTCTCAAGATGAAACAGAAGGTCTGAAAAATGATCATGTTTAAGCGTGCATTCACGCAAGTGATACATTTGCTCTGTCTGAACCAAATTGCTAGTCTGTCTGAGCCAAACTGTTCAGATCATCAATAACAAACATGTCAAAATAATTGCAATTGTTCAGATGCAAAATTCAAACTGAGAACACAGAATCACTGAACTGGACGTGAACTCCTCATGTTTGGATACCTGAAGCATTGGGTGGGTACCAGTACAACATGTCAGATCATGGATGAGTTTTCAACAGACCACAACCCAACGAATCACCTTTACCCTGCCAAAGAATATAACTGCATACAAAAACCAAGCCAATCAAGGCCGAAACTGTCAACAGCGAGACATGCAGTTTCACGTTCTTCAAATGAATTAACAGTTCGTTTCCAAGTTTTGGCAAAGTGACACAATGCTGCAACGCTGCATGTAATGTAAAATGTTCTTTGCACCTGAAACGACTTCCAAAACTTTGGTTCCTTTTGTAGGCCAACTTGCCAGTCATTTTTCCCCAGATGGCGAAGCTATGGGGTTCTTACACGAGCTGCCCGTGCACCAGTGCTTGCATGCAACATCACACGGTGTTGTCGCTGGCGTTCTTTGTCCATCAGCGCTGTGGGGTGTTTACACCAGCCGTGAAAGTTTGACACACAAACTCTCGAAGAAAAATCGAAAGCTCTCGTGCTCAAAACACCTAGTCAGTCAAGTGTCTCAACGACCCGAGTCGAAAAACGAAGAAAAAGCAGGCAAAAGACACACACTCTTTTCGCCGCACACTTGAGCCTAAGTAATGTTCGTAACCCATATACAAAGCATTCAGGTAAAGCTTCGGAGAAGCTTTACAAACATTCTCAAAAGGTCACTTGGAGACCTCAAACATGTTGCTGTTCAGCAAAAAGGTTCCAAAACAATTCATTCTGTTCACGAAGGTTCACAAAAGTTCTCCAAACAGTTGGGAACGACCAAAACCATATTCCAAACGTCTTTGGGTGTCCACGACACCGTTGCAAACAATCTCTAAACATCTGTACACATTGGAAGGGATCTTCCAATGTTCCTGTAGGGTTACATGCGGTCTTCAAACAAGTGGTATGGAGTCTTCGATCCTCAGTACCGTTGAATTTCTCAACTTCACACCCCCTTTCGAAGCTCACATGTCACCTTGAACAGTAGTGAGTCGCTGCGCTAACAAACGCTCGTTCTCACAGCGCAAGCAAACACCAAAAGAAGCTACTTTCGTCTTGCCTTTCAAGTACTGGCATTGACGGTCAATATGGAATTTGGAACCATGAGGGCTCACAAATACCTCCTTCACAGCATTCACTCGTGGCCACTCAGAAGTTGCTGTGTTCTCAACAGCAGCAGGCCCGCCAGCGGCAGCGCTCGAAGCAGCAGCGCCTGAAGAAGCAGCAGCTCTCAAAGAGACTCTCTCTCTCTCTCTCATCACCGACTCTCTACACCTGGGCTTCTCCTGTCGCAAAAGGCTCTTCACCATTCCAACAGCCCCAATGGCTTTCAAAAGCTTCACAAGCAGCATCAGCGCGCCATACAGTGCCAGCACGGCAATGCAGCTGCCCTCAAACGACAACATGGCTTCCCACGCAGACGCCCCACACTCATGGATATGCGTACTGACTTGACAGCGGTGCCACACGCCAGCCTAAGAAACCCAAATCCTGAAAAACCAGGTGAGGGGGCCTGAGCGCCTGTAGTTAAAGGCCAAACTCCCAAAGCCACGAGATGACGAACAGGGCGAAATGACGACGATCGCTCAAGTCTGCAGCAAGTGAGGTTCTGGGCTTAGCCTCGTGCCATTCCGTGTGAAAAGGCAGGTACGTGAGTCAGGCGTCCCTGACTCATATCACAGGAAATCCATGGTGTCTTCGTTGGATGCCGACCATGGAAATCCCCGGCATCCCCCTGCGATAATACAAAATACATAAATGCAAAAGCATCCCTATGACTCCAAGGGTTACACACACACGCCTCCCCGAAGGGAGGCAAGATTTTAAGCTCCGCGCCGAATGTAAGGTGAGACTAAGAGAACTGACGGATCTCACGGTATTAAATCCCGCCGTTCTAGCTGGGACTTGGTGGAAATGGTGCTGGAATGCAGCAAGGAGGCAACCTGGACATGTTCAGGGCTACTGGGGCAAATGGAAGGTTTGAAGAAGATGCTTCGGACATGTTCAGGGCCACTGGGGCAAATGGAAGGTTTGAAGAAGACGCTTCTGCCAAAACCATGTTTACCAGCACCTTGGAATGTTACCAAAGACGTTTTTGCAGGTGGTGTCCTTGGAACAGCCATTGTGCTGCACAGGGCGGACAAAACCCATCAGAGTTGATGACAGGACAAGCGTCAGAACAAATGCCAATAAAGACGTCAGAAGATAGCCCAGAAACATTCCCATCCTTTATGATAAATGATAAGTCAGAGTGCATACCAGACTTGATGCCCCGACAAGCGTCAGAACATTGTGTCAATCCACGTGTCAGGCCGCGCTTGTCAAGATAGTCTGTCAATACAAGCGCCCTGCCTTCTCCCAAATCGCTTCGTGGGGCGGGGATCACTCGAAGTAGACAATTTTTTTCTTTTACGCATGTTTAGAGGAGCCCTCAGCGCCCCAAACAAGAAAACTTACTTCCTTATTTGCCAATGAACATACACTGATGGGGGTCCTGCGCACAAGTTACTAGGAACACTGCATTGAAAGAACAAGCAAGCCAAGACCGCCACCAAATTGCACTCGCATCAAAAGAAAGACAACCTACTCCAGTTGACATGACAAGAAACCTGCCACTACCGCCGTGCTTTAACCATCGCACCAGGTTTGTCTCTGCCAGAGGCACCGTGCGCCCGCTCGCGCCGCATTCAAACCTATCAGGTTTTCAACCTGCTGCTAGCTGGCGACAACCTTATGATTGTTTTAAAGAAATGTTCCATGCGGTCCACAAGACCAGACCTCTCCGTGGTACAAGTTTCCCGCGCGAAACAAAAACAACCTGTCAACAACAATAAATACATTGCCTTCTGCAGCAGGTCTCACACACATGCCAAACACCAGACTTCCGCTGGCGCGTGAACCACGAACAATTGCAATGCGGTGGCCAAGCGATGGTGAAACGTTTGCCCTCAAATGTGTTTCTCCAAGGGCCTCGTGCGAAGGTCTAATCTTGCAGTCAAGAACATGGTTGAACATAACCCCAAAACTTTCTTGGTAACGCAACGGCAAAGGCAATGGTATTGTGTGATCGGGAATGCACTGCAATGTATTGTGGTTTACTGGGAAGAAAACGCACGGAAGAAGTGAGAGTTCAATTAGCAGGGAACCACGCCTGTTCTTTGCAAAGTCCAACCAAGCCTGCAACAAGCTAGCAAGTCAAGTTTTGATCACACGCTGCCAGACGCGCACCACAAAGCTTAAAACGGCAAGCAAGCCTTGCTTTGGCTAGGATCAATAGTTGCCTAATGGCTTAAGGTATAGCGAATTGTTTTCCTTTTACAGAACCCCGCTCGGTGAGGCTTTGTTTGAGCATCCACAAAGCCTGTTTCAAAAGGGTGAAAGAAAGCAAGTAGCGGACGCCGCCCCAAAGATTGACTTCCGACTTCCACTTGCTGCATTGCATCATGGACTGGTGGCCAGTCGCGCAGCAAAAAAAATAGGCAGCACTCTTAACCTGATGCGCCTCAGGCCTCAGGATGAGGCTTACCTCCAGCAGGCCCGGCCGGCTCAGCTGTTGAACTTGCGCCTCCGCGCTCGGCCGGCGCCGATTCCTTCACCTCACACAATGCTGCAATCTCCTTCAAGAGCGCAACCTCTTGAGAAGCTTTCTGCTGGATCTCCTGTGAACCGCTCGCGGTGGCTGACGAGCTGGCTGTGCGCAGAGAAGCCTCAGCCTCTTGTGTACGACGCTTCACACACAGGATTGCATGTGGATCTTTTGCTGACTTCACAACCAATGGGATTCGCACACCAAAAGTGCAATGTTGCACAAGTTCTCCTTGCACACTTCCATATGGGCAATACAGCAGGTCACCAGCCTGTAGAGTCGCTGCAAAAAGTTCACATTCCTGCACATACTCTGCAAGCACGGGCAAGGAGATGGATCGGAGAAACCACGCTTGTCTCGAGGTGCTGATGGTCCCAGTGACACCTTTCCGCTGCATGAATCCTGTGAGCTGGAGCGATTGAGTCATCACAACCAGCCTTGTTCCTTCCACCGTCAATCGCGCACATGACATGCCGGCTGCCTCGGCCGAGACCTTGTCGTAAGTGGAATCAATGCCAAACAATCCAGGGACCACCTGCTTGCTCAAGCTTGGCGATGCACTCAATGCTGAAGAAGTTACCAAGGTGGCCCCTCCTCCAAATAGCTGCTCAACCTCCCCAAGGAAATTGAAAACGGCCTGGTCAGGCGCTTCCACAGGTTTGGAAGCTCGGATTCCACGCTTCTCTTTCCTGCCAATGTCAAAAGAAGCCCGAAAGCCATCCAGGTCAGCCTGGACAGAAGCCATTGCATTGGCTATCCACGACGGCGCAGTGACAATGAAAGGGCGAGAAAAATCCATGTCATCCACCTTGAAGGAGTCCAGAGACACTCGATGAATTTGCTTGGCTTGCGCAGCACCTTGGTCAAACAAAGCAAGCGCATCTGAGCCTGGCGGTTGCGGCTTTGCTGCCGCCTTTGCAGCCGCTCGCCTCAGCTGGTCCTTGGCTGTCTTTAGGCTTTTCTCGGCCTTGGTGGCCTGGCTCATCAGCTGGGTCAACGGAGCTTTGATGTCGGTGAGGCCTTGCGCCACTTCCTGCAGGGACGAATGGCTTCTTGCAACACGTATAAAAAAAGCTTAACAACATCAACACAATCTTGTGGGTCACATGCCCTTCCAGCCTTGAAAAGCCCGCCCACTATCAAAAGGCAACAAAACTTGCCCGTATTAATTCTGAAACAAACATCGGTCCCGCAAGTGCTTCGGCTGTGTGCAAGTGTTGTACTTCTCAATCTGGGTGTCCAGGTCGGAGACTGGCCGCAGCTTGCTGTACAACTCGCAAGGCGGGCTATTGCCAATTTCCACAATTTTGCCGTCTTCCATGTCAGCTTCAGGCGTCGTGCTGAAGTTGCCGATGAACTGTTTGATGGAGTTTGCATCTTGCTTGTTGAAGCACAAGTCCAAAGCTTCAAGGCGCACCTCAAGCATTTTGATCTCACCAGCAAAGTTTGACTTGAAGGCATCATCTGAAGATGCCAAGAGGCTGTCCTGCAAGACACAATGATTGACTGGCGCTTCACCCTTGAAGCCTTGAAGGGCCCGAATGACAATGCCCTTTCTGCTCTCAAAAATGATTCTCCTAAAGTTGGGCTTACATTTAAGATCGCCACAAAACAAAACCCCAGAAAACATTTTCCCCGCCCTCCCCGCCTTCCACTCGCTCAGCCTTGTAAACAACGCGGTTCCCTTCTCAGTAAAGGTCGTGGCCTGGGTTTTGGCTGCTCTTATGGCTGCTGAAACCATGCGATCTCGCTCCACCCATGGCTTTGGAGCTGGATCTTTCGGGTCCTTCGGCTCGGTGGCTTCTCCCTCTGTCTCACCATCCCCTGTCTCCACATCAGGCAGCAATTGCAACACATCCAATAGAAAGCCGGAGCCATCATTGGAAGAAAAAGCTCCCCCACTGCCCCCACCGTTTTTGCACAGGGCCGCACCAACCTCTTCAAAGCCCATGTTCTTCCCGTGGTTCTTCACAATCTCTGCCCGGAATTTGTCCACATCAGCGTCCGAGCCCTTCTTGATCTCCTGGCCCACGCAGTCAACTGACTTCTCGCGCATGTATTCAGACCGGTGAATCAGCAAGTCTTGGGTCTTGACCCAGACGCGGAGCTTCCCGTTTGGGCCTCCATAGTCGTGGTAGACACTCGGGTCCTTGAGCTGCACCGATTCTTCCCATTGCTTCCACTGGAGCAAGGCCTCTTCTTCTCGAAGTCGCCCACCACGGGTTGTCTGAGCGTGCTCAAGGTACAACTTGTCCCACATTAGCTCGCCGATGCAATCCTTCACCAAGCCGGATGCGGCTTTGACACGTTCCATGTAGCGAACCACCGACCACTGGCCACGCTTCTTCCCAAAGTTCTCTACGGTTTCTGGGCAGTTTTCTAAATAGGATTGGATCATGTTGTAGCACTTCGCATCATCTTGGCGCGCTTCCTGCACAAATTTGACAGCATCTGCTCCCTGCTTGCTGGCCGCTTTGGTGATGTTGTCCAAAGCCCGCTTGCAGGGGGTGCACCCTGGCCAATTGGGCGCCTGCTCTTCAGGCGTCAGTTTCTTCCGGCAGCCTTTGCACTTCTTTGCCGGCTGTCTCTTTGGCTTGGGTTTTGGCTTTGGGTGCGATGCTGAATCGCCTTTTGACTTTGCTGATTTCACGGATGACGGCTGGTCCAACTTCTCCTGTTTCGCCTTCTTGGGCGTCACTTGCGCATCACCTAGGTCTTGCTGGTATTCCAGATCCAAGGAATCGCTGACAAGGTCCGCAGCCCTCTTGGTCATGGACACAGGCTATGGGCGCCCCCCTCAACTTGAGTCACGGAATCAGCTGAGGCACCAACAGGATTGACTGGCATGCAACATGAACACACAAAAACCACACCGCCAGAAATGAATCTCTTTCAGTTCAAAAGCACATAACTGAAAGGCAAAGTGAAAGAACTGCGAGCAACACAACAAATGTCTTTGTAGTCGTCGTGCTGCTGCGCCTTGCCTTGAGCATAAGGCATTGAAACTCACCGCCCCAAACAACCAGACCTGTACCATGGGGCAGCGCCAATGACAAATGGATCAGGCGATGGTAGTGCACTACAAGCTTTTCAACAATAGAAAGCACGTGTCTCAAAAGGCAAAGTTTGTCTAGGCTACAAGAAACATACACTGAAGGGAAGGTTGTTGGAAATGCCAGGAAGAGTTTGTGCTCTTGCGGAATTGTTTTGGAAAGGCGCGGCCGCTAAAGTCTGCTTCCTCGACAAAACCTTCCGAGCTTTGGTCCCCCTTTGATAAAAACATCACGAAATTAAACCATGAACCATCTTGCTGGCACCTCAACAAACAAGTGTCCTCTACCGGCAACAAAGCTCTTTCAAAGCTCAATCAATGCGCCGCCGCGCAATGGCGGGCTTCCGCTATTTCTGCTTGGTCACTGCCATTGAAAATACCAAAAGCAGGCCGGCCACCCGGCAGTGAACCGAATTACCCAGCAGCTTAAAAACCGCTGCGTCATTCAGAGCCTGAAAGAAGTTGTCAGGCAAGGGACAGCGTCTGGTTTTCCCGTTGGCATCTGGCACCAATCCTGGAATGGGCCAACCCATCGCGCACATAAGCTCTTGACTCAGCATCTCCCGCCGGGCCTTCTCACTCCAGAACATGGATTTGCACAAGGGAGATGGCAACATGGAACTGAACTTTTTGCGGACAGTCACACTCTGGCTCAAGTCAAAGATGGGAACAACACCTTCGGGATTACCCCCCTCTTTCTCATAGTCCCTGTATCCAAGAAGTCTGGTCTTGTAGCCGGCAGGCAAAAACTCAATCCACGGACCGTCAGGGACATGCCCCCCCCAACGCTTCTGGGCCAGCTGCTCAAACTGATCCTTCACCATGTCACTGTCAGCGCAAAAGAAATCATGCCCAGAGCCAAGTGGTTCTGCCCCACAAATTTGGTGAAAGTTCTCGAAAGTGATCGGCCACAAAATCTCGAACTTGTCAGACCTCACGGACCAACTGAAACGCCTTGGGCGGCGCATGGGTACACCAACATCTGTGGGGCTAATCTTGAGAGCTGATATGGTATAGTCCACGCCAGCAGCGGCAAAAGCTGCCGAGAGGGCCTCTTCAGTGTTGAAGAGGTGGGAGCATTCCTGCAAAAGCCAATCGCCTTTGCGGCAGCCAAAAAGAACGAGCCAAATGGCGCATGGAATTGCACTTTCGTGGAGCCATCTGCCACGGCTGCCTTGGGGTGAAAAGGAAATGCAGGTATTACCACCAGTCTCCAGCCAAACGTCGCCCTGGATCAAAGGTGGTTTGTATGGGCAATTTTGCTTGTGGTTGAAGCAATACCCTTCCTCCTTCACTTTCCCGTTGTCCCACGCGGCGCGCACAAGAGCAAAAAGCTTGCGCATGCACTTGTCATTGAGGTCATCCAATTTCTTTTTCTTTTCCTTTTGCGTGAGGGTGTCTGGAATTTCCGACGCTCTGGTCTTCAATGTCTTCACAACAAAATCCATCTTGTGGAGCACCTCCTCTTCCACTTGATGGCGCAAATCACCAAAGACATGCTGTGGACAGTGACCCGACTTCAGAAGCACATAGCGGGCTTTGTCGTCCACTTCACGCGCACTCCAAATGTAGGAGCTGATGAGAGCACCATCAGGCACAATGCCCTGACAAGCTTCCCGCAGGCGGATATAACAAAAGTCAAAGGTGCAAAGCCCGGAGTAAGAGGATGACAGCCACATCCTTCCTGATCGACTTGAGAGCCTCCGCGACAGCTGGGATTCAATGCCAGGCCCTCCAGCAAGCACGCTCTCAATTGTGGGACACAAGGAAGGCCAATCACACAAAGCTTGGTGCATGGGCTTCGAGTCTGGGATCATGTTTTGGAACCCTTCCGAGCTCAACCGCCGGAACTTGAACGCGCGCTCATCGGCGCCACTGTCAACCATGCTTCCAAAATTCCACTCAATACGGGCAGCCGACTTTCTTAGCCCAAAAAGACTGCTAGAGAGCAAAATGCAATGGAGCGATGGAACAACGGAGAGATTGAAGCGTTCTGCACTGATTCTTTCCGAAAAAGATTGCAAGCGACAAAAAGGGAGTGGAATGATGGAAAACACTCAAAGATTGAAGGATTCTGGACTGCTCCTTTCCAACAAAGACTGCAAAGAGAAACATGTAATGCAATGAAGGAAAAATGAAAGATTGAACCATCCTGCACTGCTTTTTTCCAAAAAGGTAACTCTCACACATAAAAACATTGCACAAGCCTGCATAAGTTTCAACGGTTTGCAAAAATGCTTCCTTCTTGAATTGGTCAACGTTGAACCTTGGAAGGGCTGCGCATGGCACCATGATCGCGCACGGTCGCGCAACCTTCGCGCACGTTCGCGGAAAACAAAAACACATAGCGCGCGCTGAAAACTTCACAACGCATGGTCGCGCACATGTCGCGCACGCTTGCAGAAGTGATAAGATAACATCACTTTGTACAAAACCACTCAACATGGCAAACGGTCGCGCATCCTTCGCGCACGGTCGCGCACGGTCGCGTGGGGGGGGGTTGAGATGGTTGAGATCGCGCACGTTCGCGCAGATGTCGCGCACGTTCGCGGTGACCTTAGCATATCACATTGTTGTTGCTTTCTTTCAGCCAGGGGTGCCAAGAAGCAAACCTGTCGCATAAACTAACAGAAAAGGGTAGGGACAAGCAAGAACCTGCAGCTGGCGCACAAAATATTGCAGACAGTTTGATTGTGGTTGAGTTCCGTCCTTTCTTGTTTCTTTTTCAATGATTGAGACATCACCCGGCCTTGCCTTGACAAAGCCTGAGAGGGCCCAGGTATATTCAACAAGGAAAGCGCCTGCAACAGCAAAGTCTGCCATGGAACTGCTTGCTTGGAAAAGTTGGGGCGAGAATGAAGAGTCAGTAATGACTTTGATGAGATGGGGAACTTGACTGACTTGACCCCTGGTTTGTTTAGGTTTCTGTCCTCCTTCACCTGGCCTTGACGCATCCACAGCTGTTCTGACTGGAATCCGTCAGCAACGCCTGCAAAAACAAAAGTATACAACAGTGAAGTGTATCTAACACAAATGGAGGTGTCCAGAAAACGCCTCTATATAGGCCATACCAACTCAATTTCGGACACCTTCAAACGCCTCAAAATTCCAAGATCTGGGGTCTTATTGCAAAAGCAGTGAACTTGACTGATTTGACCTTCTGGCCTGTTTTTAGGTTTCTGTTCTCTTTTACCTGCCTTGACAAATCCGCAGCTGTTCCGACTGGAACTCATCAGCATCGCCTGCAAGAACAAAAGTATACAAACGGAACTCGTGGGTGCTTGTGGCGCTCAGTGACTTGTATCTGACACAAACGGAGGTGTCCGAAAAATGTCTGTTTATAGGCCATACAAGCGCGATATCGGACACCTTCAAAATTCTAAGATCGGAGGCCTTACTACTTGGGATCAACAAAATGTCTTCAACCTGGCCTGCAATCAACTTGAGGAGGAATTGGAGGTCGAGCTGCTATCTGAGGATGAGGACGATGAAGACGCGGCGGCCTTAGGCTTCGGCTTCGCCTTTCTCTGACGCTGGGCCTTGGCCTTAGGAGCAACAGGTCCCGCGTCCGCATCCAGCTCAACATCAGTTGGTGCTTTGGAAGGAGGGGAAGCTTCCAGCTTCTGCCCAAAGACCACAGACTCATCTGGAATGTCCTGATCGCGCAAAGGCATTCTGATGTGGGCACGCTGTCTGTCAAATCGTAAGGCTTGGTTGCACCAGTGGCGCAACTTGGTCACAGCCTGGTGTTCATTTCCAGGATCACAGCGGAGAAACTTCTTACAAAGCGTCTTGTCATTCAAGCGGTGGAAGCGGCAGGTCACCTCAATGCCTCTTGGGTTGGTCTTTCGGCTGAACGCAAACGAGGCCCATTTTTCAAGTCTGTGTCGTTGCCTGCCCTCTGGGGCAGAAGAGCCCAAAGGTTCAACGGCTTCTGGCGCCGGTGGGGCTGGCGCCCGAGGCCCATCGTCTCGCGGCCTTTCCCTCTGTGAACTGGAGCCCAGCGCCGGCGACGGATCAGGAAAGGCCTCCGCCAAAAAGGCTATACCTGCTTCATCTTCAGAATCTAGAAGGACATCAGCTGCTAAAGGCTGCGGCTGTGAGGCTCTGTTCCGAAGCTTCTTACCAGCTGGCACAACCACGTCACCAGGCTCGCTGCCCAGCTCAACATCACAAATTCCCAGTGGTGGTTTTCTTTTTTTTGCCCTACTTTGACCATCCTGAATAGCCCGAATAGCACAAGCTGGTTGGACCCCTTTCAGTATGGCCTCATAAATCTCAGCGCTCAGGCCATGTGGAATCGTGTCAATTTGATGCCGCGCTAGCAACTCCTCTGCAGTCAGCAGGCAGCACAAATAGGCATTGTTCACTGTGACCCCGGAAGTGTACCAAACTAACGCCTCGCCCACCTTGTAAGCCAACTTGGAACGGTCAGCCACCTTGGCAGGAAGTTGCGCCCACGTCCACCCCTTCTGTCGCATGGCTACCATAAGCTCCAAGGTCGTCATATCTTGATATGGAAGCGGGCGAGGGAAATCAAGACAAAGGGGCTCTGCCAGCATGTGGTTGAACACCAACTTGGGCATTGCATCATGGGTCAAGCGAGCGCCCATCACCTCAGACAAATGCTTTCCAAGAGAGGAAAAGAGACCTATCAATCAATCAGCTAGCTAGCTTATCTACCTATCTAGTTTAACAATATGTTTGCCCAGGTCATCAAA